GGGGGGGGCACACCTACCGTTTATACCAAATTGGTTCCCCTTCCCCTAAGGATGCTCCAGACCAAATTTAGTCAAAATCTACTAGGCCGTTCAGGACTAGTAGCGTTTTAAAGGAAAAGTTGACGGACGGACGACGAACGCTGCGGTATGGCACATGCTCACCATGGTGAGCTAACAATCATGGGAAACTGTTTTCAATATATCGAGTCTCCTTGGCCTAAGAATGGTCAAGACTAAATGGAAATTTGTATTTTTTGTACTCTATCCCAGCATGCTAAAGGTCAAATATCATCACTCATGGTCTCCTGGTAATGTAGAATAAGTTGTAGACCGTATTTTGTTTAACATATTTGACCCCTTTGACCTTGGAATTAAAGTAGGTCAAGGTAATTTATTTTGGGAAACTCTATAGCTGTCCATGCCAGGTACCTACTGGAAAGTTTTCATCTTTCTGGGCCTCCTGGTTATTCAGAAGTTGTTTAAACTTTTTAATATATTTGATGCCTGTGACCTTGAAAGTAGGTCAAGCCCATTTATTAGCTCACCGGGTCCGAAGGACCAAGGTGAGCTTATGCCATACCGTGGCGTCCGTCGTTTGTCCGTCCGTCGTCCGTCCATCAATAATTTCTTTAAACGACTTCTTCTTAACCACAATTGGAATTTAACTAAATTTGACTGGAAGCATCCCTAGGTGGTGGGGATTCGAAATTGTACAAATGGTGGGGCTGAGGGGTGGGGCAAAAAGGGGGGAATTTGGCTATATTGCTTTAAGCGACACCTCCTCTGGAACTAATTAGAGATGGATATCAACCATATTTGACTGGAAGCATCCCTAGGTGGTGGGGATTCAAAATTGTACAAATGGTGGGGCTGCCCCCCCAGGGGTCTGAGGGGCGGGGCCAAAAGGGGGAATTTTGGCTATATTGCTACAAACGACTTCTTCTGTAGAACTATGCACTGGATATCAATCATGTTTAATCAGAAGCATTCATGGGAGGAAGGGATTCAAAATTGTACAAATGGTGTGGCTGACACCTGTGGCGGCCGAGGGGCGGGGCCAAAAAGGGTTATTCAGCTTTATTACTTTAAGCGACTTCTTCTCTGGAACTAAGAGATAGATATCAACCATATTTGACTGGAAGCATCCCTAGGTGGTGGGGATTCAAAATTGTACAAATGGTGGGGCCGAGGACTGGGCCAAAAGGGGGCAATTTGGCTATACTGCTATAAACGACTTCTTCTGTTGAACTATACCATGGATATTGATCATATTTGGTCGGAAGCATTCATGGGGGGCAGGGATTCAAAATCGTTCAAATGGTGGGGCTGCCCCCCCCCCCCCTCGGGCTAAGGGGTGGGGCCAAAAAAAAATATTACTTGGAAATGGTTGAGATCCCCACCATATAACCATGTATACAATTGCTGAGTATAAAGAGAGAATGCATATTTGCTTCCAGGATGGCCCTAGCGTATGGCCCCACCCTTGGAGACTTAACCCCTGGGTCATAACTTTGAAACNACCAGGATGGCCCTAGCGTCTGGCCCCACCTTTGGAGACTTAACCCCTGGGTCATAACTTTGAAACGGTTAAGATCCCCACCCCAAAACTATATATACAATTGTTGGGCATAAAGAGACGAATGCAGTCATGATATTAGAATTGATCCTGGGGTCTGGCCACAACCCTAGGGACCTAATTTCGGAGTCACAGCTTGGAAACAGATGGGATTCCCACCCCATAACCATACATAAAATTGCTGGGCATAACAAATCAAATACAGATATGCTACAAGGATTGGCCATGGGGTCTGGCATATTCCCTTGGATCTCATTTGGAGAATATTTTGCCATAATTGCTTAGACATCCAGGTGAGGGATACAGGCCCTCTGGGCCTCTTGTTTGAGGAAAGCGTATAGCACTGCATCCCAAATACTAATTACTTGGCAAGTATCATCATGTGTCTTATTTATGTCTAGATAGGGCGCTATATCAAATGTTGTATATTATTATTATTATTGTTTATGTCATTCAGAGGTTTTCATATATTTGACCCTTGTGACCTTCAATGTATGTCAAGGTCATTCAGTTAAAAAAAACTTCATAGCAGTACTTTCCAGGTAACTACTAGCCAAATATAATCACCCTGTGCCTCCTGGTTATTCAGAAGAAGATGTTTAAAGATATTCATAAATTTCACCTATGTGGCCTTGAAAGATGGTCAATGTCATTTATTTGAGGAAAGTTTATAGCATTTTGTCCCAGGTATCTTCAGGGCTAATATCATTGCTCTAGGCCTCTTGGTAATCCAAAGCAGTTGTTCAAATGTTTTACATATTTGACACCTGTGACCTTGAAGTTAGGTGAAGGTAATTTATCCCAGGTACCTACTGGCCAAATATCCTGACCCTAGGTTCTACAGTTCTTAAGAAGTCGTTTAAAGGAAAAGTTGATGGATGACGGACAACACACCAATACCATAAGCTCAATCGACACTTTGTGTCTTTGAGCTAAAAATAGCACTAACAAACTTGAATATACATACTATTGAAACAAGATAAGTAACACTAAAACAAATGCTTCATAAATAAATATTAACTTTAATACTATACAGATCATGTTACAACAAATAATATTTCATCCATCAACGTTGCATCTAGTACACATAGTACAAGGAATTCTATTCAGTATCAACAGTATTTTATTTTACATGGTTCTCTCCTTGTTATATTTATAAAAATATTACAAGAATAATAACATGTCAAAATAGTTCTTTTGAAATATGAACACAAGAATCAGTTTTTTTTCCATGAAATATTCAAAGAACTCCTCAGTAACTTTTACTTCATTGTGAAGATCTAGGAGTTACTTCTAGGTCTACCAACATACTTCATAAACAAACTTATAAATGGTAAACATAAATCTAAAACTTTTATTCAGTAAGACAATTGGAAATGACTTTGATCATATTTTATACAGTGTTTTATCTACAGTTAACTGTTATGTTCATTCACTGTTTCTATAATTACAGGTGATCTGGGTTCCAACACAACCACCAGTGTGGACCGATGTTTGTGATATCATACAAAACTTGCTGGTTTGTGGTTATTACAAGTAACATTTTGATTTGGAAAACTTGGACAGAAGATTGAAGGCACTTTTATAGAAACACTCCTATTGCGATGTATACATGTCTGGCATACGTAAGCTGTGCCTGGAAGACATACTTAGTCATTTCTGAATAGCAATGGTGTAGTACCTTAGACATACACAGTGTTGACCATTGGCACCCGCTGGGTTCAGTTAAAATATCATATTTCATGCTAAATAATCATGAAAGTAAAAATAAATAACAAATAACACTGCAGTACTATCTCATACAGAAGTATAAAAACTAGCTTTCATAAGATCAACAAAACTAACCATACAAACACAACACCTAACCATTCACAACTTACAACACAAAACCAATCTGTGGTCAACTTACAACACAAAACCAATCTGTGGTCAACTTACAACACAAAACCAATCTGTGGTCAACATACAACACAAAACCAATCTGTGGTCAACATACAAACAAAACACACACTCCCATGCACACCATTTAAACAAAACACAACACTCCCATGCACACCATTTAAACAAAACACACACTCCCATGCACATCATTTAAACAAAACACACACTCCCATGCACACCATTTAAACAAAACACACACTCCCATACACACCATTTAAACAAATCACGCACTCCCATGCACACCATTTAAACAAAACATGCACTCCCATGCACACCATTTAAACAAAACACGCACTCCCATACACACCATTTAAACAAAACACACACTCCCATACACACCATTTAAACAATACATGCACTCCCATGTACATACAAACACAACAGTCATCCATATACATACACGCAAAAGAAACAACCATCAATGTACACCATTCAAATATATTGCACACCCATGTACATCATACAAATACAACACCCACCCATGTACATCATACAAATACAACACCCACCCATGTACATCATACAAATACAACACCCACCCATGTACATCATACAAATACAACACCCACCCATGTACATCATACAAATACAACACCCACCCATGTACATCATACAAATACAACACCCACCCATGTACATCATACAAATACAACACCCACCCATGTACATCATACAAATACAACACCCACCCATGTACATCATACAAATACAACACCCACCCATGTACATCATACAAATACAACACCCACCCATGTACATCATACAAATACAACACCCACCCATGTACATCATACAAATACAACACCCACCCATGTACATCATACAAATACAACACCCACCCATGTACATCATACAAACACAACACCTGCCCATGTACATCATACACATACAACTATTCAACTATATACTCCCAACGACAATAACACATTAACTATTATACATTTAATCGACCCAGAACTTGACTTTATGTTTGAAATAGTTTTCAAAATGACCAGCCCTAGCGGCCATATTGGATTTCTGATAGACCCGAAAAATAACAACACTTTGTCAGGACCATGAGTCAATCATTCCTACCAAGTTTCAGTTAAATGGGCCCAGTAGAAATTTACTTTTATTTAAAATAGTTTTTTGAAATGGCAGCCGTGGCGGCTATATTGGATTTCTGATCGAGCCAAAAAATAACAACACTTTGTCAAGAACATAAGTTGATCACTCCTACCAAGTTTCAGTTAAATTGGCCCAGTAGAACTAAGTTTATAATAGTTTTTTTAAATGGCGGCCATATTGGATAATTGATCGACCCGAAAAATAACAACATTTTGTAAAGATAATTGATAATTCCTACCAAGTTTCAGTTAAAGGGGCCCAGTAGAAGTTGACTTTAAGTTTGAAATAGTTTTTCAAAATGGCAGCCATGCCATATTGGATTTCTGATCGACCCGAAAAATAACAACACTTGGTCAGGGAGTTGTCAGTAACATTCCCATTAAGTATCAATGAAATCCCTATGACAGTATTTCAGCTGAAGTTTAAAATGAAAAATGTTAACGGACGACGGGCGAAGACGGATAGCAAAGACTCCCACAGTGTAATATGATGAACAGGCACAAAGTAAGAACAGAAAAAGGAAAGAAAGTCATTTTGTCGTGATGTATGGAATATGGTTTTTCTTCTTGGTTTATTTCTCAGCAAGGATCTACGCCTTCCATGACCACGCTGGATGAGTTATTATTTTGTAGGCCCTCAACCTACCGTCGTTCACTACAGTCTGACAGGCTACATTCGCCCAAACAGACTCTCTCCCCTACAGTCTGTTAGGCCACATTCGCCCAAACAGACTCTCTCCGCTTGAGCAGGTAGCTTCCATTCTCCTCCTTCTTCTGTTGTGTTTCAACCATCATTTCATTTCTTTGACTTCATCATCTGAGGAATCGTCATCATCGGGATGTTTTCTTTTGAGGTAGGCTATAGGCAATGTAAAAACTAGGACATTACACATAACGAAATTATAACATATATATTTAAGTATTTTCTTTTGCAAAACTAAGTTTTTAGCTCACCTGGCCCGAAGGGCCATGTGAGCTTATGCCGTACTGCGGCGTCCGTCGTCCGTCCGTCAACTTTTTCTTTTGAATGACTTCTGAAGAAGAACTGTAGGACCTAGGGTCATGATATTTGGTCAGTAGGTGCCTGGGATGGAGTGCTATAAGATTTCCTCATTAAAATGACCTTGACCTACTTTCAAGGTCACAGCGGTCAAATATGTTAAAAATTTCAAACAACAATATCCTAAGAACCATTTGAACTAGAGTCCTGATACTTGGGTATGTTATGAAGACCAGCAGTGCGAATTTTTTTTTTGAATTACAGTTATGTGGTCAAAGGTCTACTTTAAATGCTAGTCAGGGGTCAAATATCAACTTTGGTTAAAAGCTTTAACAGTCTTCTTCTCATAAGGCCCAGGGTCATGATATTTGGCCAGTAAGTACCTGGGATGTGGTGCTATAAAGTTTCCTCATTAAAATTACCTACTTTCAAGGTCACAGGGGTCAAATATGTTAAAAACTACAAACAACAATATCCTGAGAACAATTTGGACTAGTCATGATACTTAGGTTTGTTATGTAGACCAGCTGTGTGAATTGTTTTCTTCATTACAGTAATGAGGTCAATGTCAACTTTCAGTGCAAATCGGGATTCAAATGTCAACTTTGGTTAAAAGCTTTAAAATTAAGTTTCAAACAACAATATCTTCAGAACCGTTTAAGAGATGTTAAAATGTCTTGTGTTCTAGTTACCAAATGGTCTTAAGTTACCTATATGTCAGTTGCATGTAACAAAAGAAACAGGTCAGCGATACAGGCCCTCTGGGCCTATTGTTCTTTTCAAAATAAATGAAATCTTTGCAATTTCATCACCTCATGAAAACGAAATGGAAAATAAATACATGGTTTATCAAAAAAACATCTTGTTTATCAAATATATACTTAGGAATGCTGAAGACAAACAAAACAAAGATTTGAACATAATTGTATTGGGAATGAGGATTTCCGTGAATCTCTCTTCTCACTTCATTTCAATGAATGCAACCTCTTCGGTACTTTTGTATAAAAACATTTTTTTTTTTATCAATTTGAAAGACTACCCGGTATGACTCACAATTATCTCTTGATTTGTCACCGAATTGGAAGTTCAATTTCGCTCTATAGATAGGTTCATATTCCTGAAAAAAAATTGAATAAAAGTAGATTAGAATAACTCATACGAAATATTACTAACGTCTAAAATATGTGCATGACTGGTATTCACAAATTCTGCTTTAAACCTAAAAAAATAATTTCTATAACAGTATTTTAAAAGACCTAAAACAATTAATATAATGGTATTTGAGGTTTTTAACAAATTTGATTACTGTGAAATTGAATGAATGCCAAGGTTATTTATATGAACAACTCTGACAGCCTTCCATCCAGGACACAACAGGTCAAATATCATGATCATATGGATTTAAACAAGGTTACCGCGAGCGGTATATAATACGCCCGTCACACATTGAATAAGCAGTTGTCTGTATGATAGAAATATATTAAGTATTTGTGAGTAATTGATATTAAAAGAGAAATCATTCAACATAACTGGTAGATCAATGAGTGCAATACAACATCATGGAACGCATGCATCGCATTAATGAAACCAAGGGTAATAACTCCAGTAATTATGGTCAGATAATGGCGTTTATCGAACTTGTCCGTGGTTTCATGGTAATTAACCTTGTTGTGGAGTTTGAAGTTAATCCGTTAATAATTACTCGAGATATCGAGTGGACATCGTTTGCCCGCCCGACCGCCCGCCCGCTCACGTGATAACATAATACGTCCCCGTCTTCGACGGGCGGATAAAAAAGTAATCCCAAAGGGATCTTGGTACCCACCATTGTACCATATTCATTGGTTTATGTCAGTGCACCGTTTCACATATTTACAAGTACAGTTCTTTAAATGTAAGAGAAATACATCCAATCATTGCAACATCAGAAAGATCTCATTAGTACTTCCTGTACTTTTTCTGATCACTCTTTAAAGCAAACATGCATAACTGCTAATAATTACTCGAGATATCGAGCGGACACTGTTTCTGCCAGTCCATAAAGGGGCATAACTCCAGAAATTATGGCCGGATAATGGTGGTTATCGAACTTGTCCGAGGTTTCATGGGAATTAACCTTGTTGTGAAGTTTGTAGTTAATCCGTTAATAATTACTCGAGATATCGAGAGGACATCGTTTGCCCGCCCGACCGCCCGCCCGCTCACGTGATAACATAATACGTCCCCGTCTTCGACGGGAGTATAAAAAAGTAATCCCAAAGGGATCTTGGTACCCACCATTGTACCATATTCATTGGTTTATGTCAGTGCACCGTTTCACATATTTACAAGTACAGTTCTTTAAATGTAAGAAAAATAGATCCAATCATTGCAACATCAGAAAGATCTCATTAGTACTTCCTGTACTTTTTCTGATCACTCTTTAAAGCAAACATGCATAACTGCTAATAATTACTCGAGATATCGAGTGGACATCGTTTGCCCGCCCGACCGCCCGCCCGCTCACGTGATAACATAATACGTCCCCGTCTTCGCCGGGCGTATAAAAAAGTAATCCCAAAGGGATCTTGTTACCAACCATTGTACCATATTCATTGGTTTATGTCAGTGCACCGTTTCACATATTTACAAGTACAGTTCTTTAAATGTAAGAGAAATAGATCCAATCATTGCAACATCAGAAAGATCTCATTAGTACTTCCTGTACTTTTTCTGATCACTCTTTAAAGCAAACATGCATAACTGCTAATAATTACTCGAGATATCGAGCGCCACTGTTTCGGCAAGTCCATAAAGGGGCATAACTCCAGAAATTATGGTCGGATAATGGCGGTTATCAAACTTGTCCGAGGTTTCATGGTAATTAACCTTGTTGTGAAGTTTGTAGTTAATCCGTTAATAATTACTCGAGATATCGAGAGGACATCGTTTGCCCGCCCGACCGCCCGCCCGCTCACGTGATAACATAATACGTCCCCGTCTTCGACGGGAGTATAAAAAAGTAATCCCAAAGGGATCTTGTTACCAACCATTGTACCATATTCATTGGTTTATGTCAGTGCACCGTTTCACATATTTACAAGTACAGTTCTTTAAATGTAAACAAGGTTACCGCGAGCGGTATATAATACGCCCGTTACACATTGAATAAGCAGTTGTTTGTATGATTGAAATATATGAAGTATTTGTGAGTAATTGATATTAAAAGAGAAATCATTCAACATAACTGGTAGATCAATGAGTGCAATACAACATCATGGAACGCATGCATCGCATTAATGAAACCAAGGGTAATAACTCCAGTAATTATGGTCAGATAATGGCGTTTATCGAACTTGTCCGTGGTTTCATGGTAATTAACCTTGTTGTGGAGTTTGACGTTAATCCGTTAATAATTACTCGAGATATCGAGAGGACATCGTTTGCCCGCCCGACCGCCCGCCCGCTCACGTGATAACATAATACGTCCCCGTCTTCGACGGGCGTATAAAAAAGTAATCCCAAAGGGATCTTGGTACCCACCATTGTACCATATTCATTGGTTTATGTCAGTGCACCGTTTCACATATTTACAAGTACAGTTCTTTAAATGTAAGAGAAATAGATCCAATCATTGCAACATCAGAAAGATCTCATTAGTACTTCCTGTACTTTTTATGATCACTCTTTAAAGTAAACATGCATAACTACAGACCAAGGGGAACCTTCACATCAAAGAGAAAGATCCCTCCTGTACTATTTAAGAAATAGTGATAACAAGAATTGTTTAAGGACGGACGACGGACGGACAACGGTCGAATGGTGATTTGAATAGCCCAGCATCAGATGATGGTGGGCTAAAAAGCCAACAACATATTTTACCCCTATTACCACCAATGAATCTCAAGGTCATTTACTTGGAACAACTTTGATAGCTAGCCTTCTACCTTAAGCTACCTTCTAATGAAATACAATGATCCTAGGATCCTGGAACTTAAAAGAAATAATTTAAGATTTTAACATTTCCTATCCCTGTGAACTTATATAAAGGTCAGGAACATTTATTTGAGCCTCCATTCCAGCTACTTATTGGTCAAATATTATTAACCTCAGTCTTCTGAAACTTGAGAAGACATAATGAAAATACATGTATTAACATATTTGACTTCTTTAACCTTGAATGAAGTCCAAGGTAATTTTTAAAATAATTTTGATAACCCTCCATCCTTGCTTTATACTGGTTACCCTAGGTAAACACCCTGACCTTGGGCCATGGTAAATAGATGATGTCAAAAGTGTCAAATATTGTAGTTTACTTGAGCCTTAATTTCACTCAGGAAAACTGAACTCTTTTAAAGACTAGTTTCATAAATCTCATATCAAATGGAAACTCATGTATATGATCCTAATGTATGTACATGACACAAAACATAATTCAGTAAATCGCAATTAAACTGATTAACACTATTCAAAACTGTAATTGAAACAAGCTAGTTTTGTAGTAAATTTGTCCGCTCTTCCTCAGATCTCCTTCCCTAATTTGTTTACACTGTTTGACTGGTTCAAATTTTTTTTTTTCAATTCCTAAAATTCTAATGTTTATTGAATTATAGGAATAGAAACCTGACCATACTGTCTCTGTAGCCGACAAACCTTCATTATTATGTAATATGTCACTACAAATACACAGAATCAAGGCAGAAACATTTAACAACTTACCATTAGCTGTTGGGCAAAGCCTTCGTTTGGGTTTATACAGAATCGCCTTTGTTGTACATAAATAAACGCATTACTGTAATATATAAACAGGAAAAGTGGTACCGGTAAACACAATATTACAGACACCAATATCAATAGTTTTATTTTTATTAACTATTTGATTAGATATCTTTCACAGATAACATCTAGTGTAATTATCTTTTATACAAATTACATCCTTTGAATTGATCTTCACTGAAACAGAACAAACCGTTACAGTCATACATTAGAACATTTAAATATTTCCATGCTGTTTTCAGCTTTCTTTTTCTGTTTATGGCGGAACATGGCCCCCTTTTAAAGAACACTATTTGAAGGAACAACTGATCTACATTAATTGACATAATAATCAAAGGCTGCACCAACTACAGTTACTGGAACAGCTGGTGGAGACCTTGGAGTACTTGGTACAATCAATTACAAAACAATAAATGGGGTCGCCTGGGAAGCATTTCCATTTATGACTAACTTAATAAGATAAAGCGTCAAGGGGCTTTATGACATATGACTGAAGTCCACATTTCAGTTATAGGAGATGAAGAACTCCATTAATGTTACAAGATACAGGAATTTTTATTTAATGTCGCATATTTAAAACAATATTGTTATATCATTGTCATAAAACGCCCTAAATGACCTTGACCTAAGAATCCTTTCTAACAATGAATACCTTGGACTCGATGACCTTTTTTCTAAGAAGACCAAACATACTTACCGGAATGATAATCCGTATGTTTCCATTATAAAAGCTATCACTAATGCAGCACTGTAATAAAAAGAAAAGAAGTGATATAAAAACTGTCTAAAAACTGTAGGCTACTTCATAGCAGTAGCTATTCTATTTCTACAAAGACCAAGAAGATAACAATTGGGACACCGTACCTTCTGGAGATACCACCATTTCCATGTACAAGTGCCTTTCCACCTCTTTGGAAGCAGTCATTTAAGAAATCTCTAACCTAAAACAAATTATCATAAAACGTTAATCTCTGCACTAATACATAAACAAATTCTCAGTTTCAGTGTTAAGTCTGTTACACAAAATTGGTCACTCATACTAACAATGCTACTTTCATCCAATAGCTTATTGTAGAAGTCTGGTCAGTATACAACTAGATTGGTTAAAGGCCCTGACTGAGTGACTTCTCACATTGATCCATTAACCACACAATAAACATTAGAGTACCAGTAACACTAATTGTTTAAGACCGAGTAATGAGTAATAGGAAAGTCAATTAAATACATACACTGTGTACTCATCGCCATGTGATTTACCATATTAAGTCATGTATATCCAGTTTCCAAATAAATGAATCGAAATCAGGGATGGCCCTGTATGAAAATGGTGTCCTTTGCACCATCTTTGACCTTTTTTTACAATAAGAATAACAAGATAACTGTGGGAAGAATTTAATATTCCCTGTCACACAGTTGGCTTTATATAGGTCTACCTGTGAGTCATAGTCTGCTACCCACCTGTGCAAAGAATCTGATGATATTCTCTGTAATACAGTCGGCTATGTCTAACACAAGATACCTGTAGGAACATGTAAAGTTAAAAGTTCACTCAGATCAAAGAAACTTTATGGAGCGAGAGGCATTACTTGGTGATTATTTCTCTAGTCAACCTTACAACAAACTATACAAGAGGCATTACTTGGTGACTGTTTCTCTAGTCACCCTTACAACAAACTATCCAAGAGGCATTAGTTAGTGATTGTTTCTCTAGTCAACCTTACAACAAACTAGCCAAGAGGCATTACTTGGTGACTGTTTCTCTAGTTAACCTAACAACAAACTATCCAAGAGGCATTACTTGATGACTGTTTCTCTAGTCAACCTTACAACAATTTATCCAAGAGGCGTTACGTGGTGATTATTTCTCTAGTCAACCTTACAACAAACTATCCAAGAGCAGTGATTGTTTCTCTAGTCAACCTTACAACAAACTATCTAAGAGGCATTACTTGGTGACTGTTTCTCTCGTCAACCTTACAACAAACTATCCCAGAGGCATTACTTGGTGACTTTTTCTCTAGTCAACCTTACAACAAACTATCTAAGAGGCATTACTTGGTGACTGTTTCTCTCGTCAACCTTACAACAAACTATCCCAGAGGCATTACTTGGTGACTTTTTCTCTAGTCAACCTTACAACAAACTATACAAGAGGCATTACTTGGTGACTGTTTCTCTAGTTAACCTTACAACAAACTATCCAAGAGGCATCACTTGGTGACTGTTTCTCTAGTCAACCTTAAAACAAACTATCCAAGAGGCATTACTTAGTGACTGTTTCTCTAGTCAGCCTTACAACAAACTATCCAAGAGGCATTAATTGGAACCTGTTTCTCTAGTCAACCTTACAACAAACTAACCAAGAGGCATTACTTGGTGACTGTTTCTCTCGTCAACCTTACAACAAACTATCCCAGAGGCATTACTTGGTGACTTTTTCTCTAGTCAACCTTACAACAAACTATACAAGAGGCATTACTTGGTGACTGTTTCTCTCGTCAACCTTACAACAAACTATCCCAGAGGCATTACTTGGTGACTTTTTCTCTAGTCAACCTTACAACAAACTATACAAGAGGCATTACTTGGTGACTGTTTCTCTCGTCAACCTTACAACAAACTATCCCAGAGGCATTACTTGGTGACTTTTTCTCTAGTCAACCTTACAACAAACTATACAAGAGGCATTACTTGGTGACTGTTTCTCTCGTCAACCTTACAACAAACTATCCCAGAGGCATTACTTGGTGACTTTTTCTCTAGTCAACCTTACAACAAACTATACAAGAGGCATTACTTGGTGACTGTTTCTCTCGTCAACCTTACAACAAACTATCCCAGAGGCATTACTTGGTGACTTTTTCTCTAGTCAACCTTACAACAAACTATACAAGAGGCATTACTTGGTGACTGTTTCTCTAGTCACCCTTACAACAAACTATCCAAGAGGCATTAATTGGAACCTGTTTCTCTAGTCAACCTTACAACAAACTAACCAAGAGGCATTACTTGGTGACTGTTTCTCTAGTCAACCTTACAACAAACTAACCAAGAGGCATTACTTGGTGACTGTTTCTCTCGTCAACCTTACAACAAACTATCCCAGAGGCATTACTTGGTGACTTTTTCTCTAGTCAACCTTACAACAAACTATACAAGAGGCATTACTTGGTGACTGTTTCTCTCGTCAACCTTACAACAAACTATCCCAGAGGCATTACTTGGTGACTTTTTCTCTAGTCAACCTTACAACAAACTATACAAGAGGCATTACTTGGTGACTGTTTCTCTCGTCAACCTTACAACAAACTATCCCAGAGGCATTACTTGGTGACTTTTTCTCTAGTCAACCTTACAACAAACTATACAAGAGGCATTACTTGGTGACTGTTTCTCTAGTCACCCTTACAACAAACTATCCATTTTACATTACTTGGTGACTGTTTCTCTAGTCAACCGTACAACAAACTATCCAAGAGGCATTACTTGATGACTGTTTCTCTAGTCAACCTTACAACAATTTATCCAAGAGGCATTCCTTGGTGATTATTTCTCTAGTCAACCTTACAACACACTATCCAAGAGGCATTACTTGGTGACTGTTTCTCTAGTTAACCTTACAACAAACTATCCAAGAGGCATCACTTGGTGACTGTTTCTCTAGTCAACCTTACAACAATTTATCCAAGAGGCGTTACGTGGTGATTATTTCTCTAGTCAACCTTACAACACACTATCCAAGAGGCATTACTTGGTGACTGTTTCTCTCGTCAACCTTACAACAAACTATCCCAGAGGCATTACTTGGTGACTTTTTCTCTAGTCAACCTTACAACAAACTATACAAGAGGCATTACTTGGTGACTGTTTCTCTCGTCAACCTTACAACAAACTATCCCAGAGGCATTACTTGGTGACTTTTTCTCTAGTCAACCTTACAACAAACTATCTAAGAGGCATTACTTGGTGACTGTTTCTCTCGTCAACCTTACAACAAACTATCCCAGAGGCATTACTTGGTGACTTTTTCTCTAGTCAACCTTACAACAAACTATCCAAGAGCAGTGATTGTTTCTCTAGTCAACCTTACAACAAACTAACCAAGAGGCATTACTTGGTGACTGTTTCTCTAGTTAACCTTACAACAAACTATCCAAGAGGCATTCCTTGGTGACTGTTTCTCTAGTCAACCTTAAAACAAACTATCCAAGAGGCATTACTTGGTTACTGTTTCTCTAGTCAACCTTACAACAAACTAACCAAGAGGCATTACTTAGTGACTGTTTCTCTAGTCAACATTACAACAAACTATCCAAGAGGCATTACTTTGTGACTGTTTCTCTAGTCAACCTTACAACAATTTATCCAAGAGGCGTTACGTGGTGATTATTTCTCTAGTCAACCTTACAACAAACTATACAAGAGGCATTACTTGGTGACTGTTTCTCTCGTCAACCTTACAACAAACTATCCCAGAGGCATTACTTGGTGACTTTTTCTCTAGTCAACCTTACAACAAACTATCCATTTCACATTACTTGGTGACTGTTTCTCTAGTCAACCTTAAAACAAACTATCCAAGAGGCATTACTTGGTGACTGTTTCTCTAGTCAACCTTACAACAATTTATCCAAGAGGCATTACTTGGTGATTATTTCTCTAGTCAACCTTAAAACAAACAATCCAAGAGGCATTACTTGGTGACTGTTCCTCTAGTCAACCTTACAACAAACTAGCCAAGAGGCATTACTTGGTGATTATTTATCTAGTCAACCTTACAACAAACTATCAAAGAGACATTACTTGGTGACTGTTTGTCTAGTCAACCTTACAACAATCTACCCAAGAGGCATTACTTGGTGACTGTTTCTCTGGTCAACCTTACAACAAACTATCCAATAGGCATTACTTGGTGACTGTTTCTCTGGTCGACCTTACAACAAACTATCCAAGAGGCATTGCTTGGTGACTGTGTCTCGAGTCAACCTTACAACAAACTATCCAGGAGGCATTACTTGGTGATTATTTCTCTAGTCAACCTCTATCCAAGAGGCATTACTTGGTGATTGTTTCTCTAGTCAACCTTACAACAATCTATCCAAGAGGCATTACTTGGTGATTATTTCTCTAGCCAACCTTACAACAAACTATACAAGAGGCATTACTTGGTGACTGTTACTCTAGTCAACCTTACAACAAACTACCCAAGAGGCATTACTTGGTGACTGTCTCTCTAGTCAACCTTACAACAAACTCTCCAAGAGGCATTACTTGGTGACTGTTTCTCTAGCCAACCTTACAACAAACTATACAAGAGGCATTACTTGGTGACTGTTCCTCTAGTCAACCTTACAACGAACTATCCAAGAGGCATTACTTGGTTACTGTTTCTCTAGTCAACCTTACAAAAAACTATCATAGAGGCATTACTTGGTACCTGTTTCTCTAGTCAACCTTACAACAAGCTATCCAAGAGGCATTACTTGGTGATTTTTTCTCTAGTCAACCTTACAACAAACCATCCAAGAGGCATTACTTAGTGACTGTTTCCCTAGTCAACCTTACAACAAACTATCAAAGAGACATTACTTGGTGACTGTTTGTCTAGTCAACCTTACAACAATCTACCCAAGAGGCATTACTTGGTGACTGTCTCTCTAGTCAACCTTACAACAAACTAGCCAAGAGGCATTTCTTGGTGACTGTTTCTCTAGCCAACCTTACAACAAACTATACAAGAGGCATTACTTGGTGACTGTTTCTCTAGCCAACCTTACAACAAACTATACAAGAGGCATTACTTGGTGACTGTTTCTCCAGTCAACCTTACAACAAACTATCCACGAGGCATTACTTAGTGACTGTTTCTCTAGTCACCCTTACAACAAACTATCCAAGAGGCAGTACTTGGTGATTATTTCTCTAGTCACCCTTACAACAAACTATCCAAGAGGCAGTACTTGGTGACTGTTTCTCTAGTCAACATTACAACAAACTATCCAAGAGGCATCACTTGGTGATTATTTCTCTAGTCAACCTTACAACAAACAAACCAAAAGGCATTACTTGGTGACTGTTTCTCCAGTCAACCTTACAACAAACTATCCAATAGGCATTACTTGGTGACTGTTTCTCCAGTCAACCTTACAACAAACTATCCATTTTACATTACTTGGTGACTGTTTCTCTAGACAACCTTACAACAAACTATCCAAGATGCATTACTTGGTGACTGTTTCTCTAGCCAACCTTACAACAAACTATCCAAGAGTCATTACGTAGTGACTGTTTCTCTAGTCAACCTAACAACAAACTATCCAAGAGGCATTATTTAGTGACTGTTTCTCTAGTCAACCTCACAACAAACTATCCAAGAGGCATTAATTAGTGACTGTTTCTCTAGTCAACCTTATATCAAACTGTCCAATAGGCATTACTGAGTGATTGTTACTCTAGTCAACCTTACAACAAACTACCCAAGAGGCATTACTTGGTGACTGTTTCTCCAGTCAACCTTACAACAAACTATCCAAGAAGCATTACTTAGTGATTGTTTCTCTAGTCAACCTTACAACAAACAAACCAAAAGGCATTACTTGGTGACTGTTTCTCCAGTCAACCTTACAACAAACTATCCAATAGGCATTACTTGGTGGCTGTTTCTCTAGTCAACCTTACAACAGACTATCCAAGAGGCATTACTTGGTGGCTGTTTCTCTAGTCAACCTTACAACAACCTATCCAAGAGGCATTTCTTGGTGACTGTTTCTCTAGCCAACCTTACAACAAACTATCCAAGAAGCATTACTTAGTGACTGTTTCTCTAGTCACCCTTACAACAAACTATCCATTTTACATTACTTGGTGACTGTTTCTCTAGCCAACCTTACAACAAACTATACAAGAGGCATTACTTGGTGACTGTTTCTCCAGTCAACCTTACAACAAACTATCCAGGAGGCATTACTTGGTGACTGTTTCTCTAGTAAAACTTACAACAAACTATCCAAGAGGCACTACTTGGTGACTGTTTCTCTAGTCACCCTTACAACAAACTATCCATTTTACATTACTTGGTGACTGTTTCTCTAGTAAAACTTACAACAAACTATCCAAGAGGCATCACTTGGTGATTATTTCTCTAGTCAACCTCTATCCAAGAGGCATTACTTGGTGATTATTTATCTAGTCAACCTTACAACAAACTATACAAGAGGCATTACTTGGTGACTGTTCCTCTAGTCAACCTTACAACGAACTATCCAAGAGGCATTACTTGGTGGCTGTTTCTCTAGTCAACCTTACAACAAGCTATCCAAGAGGCATTACTTGGTGATTATTTCTCTAGCCAACCTTACAACAAACTATACAAGAGGCATTACTTGGTGACTGTTCCTCTAGTCAACCTTACAACGAACTATCCAAGAGGCATTACTTGGTGGCTGTTTCTCTAGTCAACCTTACAACAGACTATCCAAGAGGCATTACTTGGTGATTTTTTCTCTAGTCAACCTTACAACAAACAAACCAAAAGGCATTACTTGGTGACTGTTTCTCCAGTCAACCTTACAACAAACTATCCATTTTACATTACTTGGTGACTGTTTCTCTAGTAAAACTTACAACAAACTATCCAAGAGGCATTTCTTGGTGACTGTTTCTCTAGCCAACCTTACAACAAACTATACAAGAGGCATTACTTGGTGACTGTTACTCTAGTCAACCTTACAACAAACTAGCCAAGAGGCATTACTTGGTGACTGTTCCTCTAGTCAACCTTACAACAAACTACCCAAGAGGCATTACTTGGTGACTGTTCCTCTAGTCAACCTTACAACAAACTACCCAAGAGGCATTACTTGGTGACTGTTTCTCTGGTCGACCTTACAACAAACTATCCAAGAGGCATCACTTGGTGATTATTTCTCTAGTCAACCTTAAAACAAACTATCCAAGAGGCATTACTTAGTGACTGTTTCTCTAGTCAACCTTACAACAAACTATCCATTTCACATTAGTGGGTATTATGTCACCCCAGACCAGTAACAGGTTTAATACAGTGTAGAAAAGAAATGCAAATTATTCCATAAAATGAATCTAGACAGTAGTCATTATTGTATAATAGCATGGTAAACACTTTCATCTTATTTGATCACTTTAATCCTGTCAATAATTTCTACAAGGTGTAATCATATGCTAAGCCAACCCTTGTACACATACCATCAGAAGAATGTACTTAAGACTTACCGAAAATACTCGGGGAAGTTTGGTCTTACAAAGTTGGCTTCAATGCTTTGTCTGATACACACTATATGTGTGATGCCATGCTGCTGTAGGGAAGGGAGCTGGAAGTCAAGGAAACACTAACAGGTACTTGTTTTTACAACTCTACAAAATGGAATTTGTTTTTCAATCATAACTAACAATAAATTGGCAAGGAAGGTCATTACTTAGATCTTTTGCTTCATCAGAATAATTTGTTCAAATATTTTAACAAATGATGATCTCTGTGAGCTTGATCACAATCATCCCTTTACTACAGTATGCCAAATATCAGTTCCCTTGGTCTTATTCAATAACCTCCTAATGGTATGCAAAATCTTAACCTTACCTGTGATTTCATAGCTGCTGCATATGGTCCCAGATACAGATTTGGTACAATCTCCTGTAAGTTTGAATTTTGAACAAAACGTTTCATTTCACTTATATATAGCTAACAGTACTAGTAAGGAACTATACAAATAAAACAAGAAGCCAAGAGGGCCTGTATCTTTTATATTGACCGTTAAGAAAGCATGAAAAACAGTTTAAAACAAGAGGCTCATAGGGCCTGTATCGCTCACCTGAATATGTTTAAAATAATTGATATGAAGTAAAGATAGATAGGGGTGTGGGGGTGGTGTGTGTGTGTGTCATACCCACCAATTATACAAAATTGAGTCCCCTTGGCCCAAGGAGGCTCCAGACTAAATAAGGATAAAATCCCTTAATCCTGATGGTCGAAAAAGGATTTTAAAGGTTTTACCTCTATTTCTCCTATTGGGCCCCGCCCTTCTGCCCCCTGGAAGACCACACCCACTACTTATACAAAACTGAGTCTCTTGGCCCAAGGATGCTCCAGACTAAATTAGGATAAAATCCCTTAATCCCTATGGTAGAAGGATTATAAAGGTTTTACCTCTATTTCTCCTATTGGGCCCTGCCTCTCCAGGAGGGTCAGACACATCGTTTATACAAAATTAGTTCCCCTTCACCCAAGGATGCTTCATACCAAATTTGGACAAAATCCTATCATTCCTACAGAAGAAGAAGGATTTTAAAGAATTTGCTATGTTTCCCTTAATGGACCCAGTCTCTTCTGCCCCCAGTAGGCTAGGGCCACACTCGCTGTTTATACGAAATTGAGTTACTTTCGCCCAAGGATGCTCCAGACTAAATTAAGATAAAATCCCTTAATACCTATGGTAGAAGAAGGATTATAAAGGGTTTACCTCTATTTCCCCTATTGGGCCCTGTCCCTCAGGCCCCTGCCCCTCAGGCCCCTGGGCCACACTCATTGTTTATACAAAATTGGTTCACCTTCACCCAAGTATGCTCCACACCAAATATGGACCAAATCCTTTCATTTCTATAGAAGAAGGATTTTAAAGGATAATTTGCTATGTTTCCCCTATTGGGCCTTGCCCTTCAGCCCCCAGGGAGGCCAGACTAACCATTTATACAAAATTTGTTCCCCTTCCCCCAAGGATGCTTCTGACCAAATTTGGTCAAAATCTGCTCAGTCGTTCATGACTAGTAGCGATTTTTAGGAAAAGTTGACGGACGGATGGACGACGGACGCTGCGGTATGGCATAAGCTCACCATGGTCCTGAGGACCAGGTGAGCTAAAAACTCACCTGATGAAAACATAAGCAGGATAGGGCTGTCACAATATATATCTGCTTGAAAACTGGTATATCGAAATACACAGTCATATTGTACCATATCAGAAATATCTATATCACCGTATTTCAATATTTTCCACAAGCTATGTTTTTGCCTATAAGTATTTTAACTTGACAAATTACTAGCCATTCTAACAGATACACCAATAACCAGGCTATTACTAGTGGTGGAATTAGGTTTCAAGCTCATAATGAATGGTTGGTTTAATGAAATTATTAGATCTGTGTGATCTATATGAAATATGATTCAGTTTGATAACATTCTGTTAACAATTTCTTTTTTAATTGAGATGTTTCCTATGACATTATAATTGGATACGTATCACAACATCTTCTATCTGAATTGCAATCCCGATACACTCTGGGCGTATCGTAATACCCCTAAGGCATGGCATTTTGTTTTTGTCCTGCCACATATTCATACTGGACATATGTTCTCCATACATATACGTCTGGTTGGTAAAGTTTTAATGTTTAGGTCAGATATGGAACAAGTACTGCAGCTAGGGTGACGGTCACTCAACTTCACATGGTAATACTCGGATATGAGTACTGCAGCTAGGGTGACGGTCACTCAACTTCACATGGTAATACTACGATATGAGCACTGCATGTTGCATGACATTTGTAACAGCTAGCTAGCAACATTTGACTTTGGCATATGTGACCTTACTTTAGTGCTTAAATGTGGGATTGGGGCATGTCCATGTCTTACAGACAATTTCTAGATTTCCAGTGAATATTCAACACATCCTGAATTACATACTGATATCTCCGACAAATATTCAACACATCCTGAATTACATACTGATATCTCCGACAAATATTCAACACATCCTGAATTACATACTGATATCTCCGACAAATATTCAACACATCCTGAATTACATACTGATATCTCCGACAAATATTCAACACATCCTGAATTACATACTGATATCTCCGACAAATATTCAACACATCCTGAATTACATACTGATATCTCCGACAAATATTCAACACATCCTGAATTACATACTGATATCTCCGACAAATATTCAACACATCCTGAATTACATACTGATATCTCCGACAAATATTCAACACATCCTGAATTACATACTGATATCTCCGACAAATATTCAACACATTCTGTCATTTGTAATGGGAGTTATTGCCCTTTTGGAAATTTACCAAACTAGAGAGTCGGTGCATTTGTTTTTCAAATTAACAACAAACTAAGTTGATATGCTCATTTACTTATAAGACAGTGTTCTAGATACTCTAATTTTCCATAATTATTACATGATTTATCACCCAATATTCAGAGTCCCAAAATAATGAATACTTCAAGTCATTTTTTAAATAAACTTGATTCATTTATATTCTATTCTAAGATTCTATACATGTTTCGCTGCCTATATATACATATTACCCGGCCCCAATTCATGAACTGACCTGCATCTGTCTCCTCATGACATACCTCCAATCCTGAAATACAACAACTGGTCTTATTGCATGTTGTTTTCTAAAAGATGTATAAATAATTCTGTTGATCATGCAAATAGCCAATATATATAAGATTTTGTGGTAAAAATAGATGACATTTTATCATTTAACAGGTACATGGTGACTGTATGGTCAGTGTGACATTTATCATTTAACAGGTACATGGTGATTGCATGGTCAGTGTGACATTTTATCATTTAACAGGTACATGGTGATTGTATGGTCAGTATGACATTTATTATTTAACAGGTACATGGTGATTGCATGATCAGTGTGACATTTATCATTTAACAGGTACATGGTGGTTGCATGGTCAGTGTGACATTTTATCATTTAACAGGTACATGGTGATTGCATGGTCAGTGTGACATTTTATCATTTAACAGGTACATGGTGATTGCATGGTCAGTGTGACATTTATTATTTAACAGGTACATGGTGATTGCATGGTCAGTGTGACATTTATTATTTAACAGGTACATGGTGATTGTATGGTCAGTGTGACATTTATTATTTCACAGGTACATGGTGATTGCATGGTCAGTGTGACATTTATCATTTAACAGGTACATGGTAATTGCAATGTCAGTGTGACATTTATTATTTAACAGGTACATGGTGATTGCATGGTCAGTGTGACATTTATTATTTAACCGGTACATGGTGATTGCATGGTCAATGTGACATTTATTATTTAACAGGTGCATGGTGATTGTATGGTCAGTGTAACATTTATTATTTAACAGGTACATGGTGGTTGCATGTTCAGTGTGACATTTATCATTTAACAGGTACATGGTGATTGCCTGGTCAGTGTGACATTTATTATTTAACAGGTACATGGTGATTGCATGGTCAGTGTGACATTTATTATTAAAGATCTAAGGTTAGGGGTAGAAATCCTGGTCTAGCCATCTTTTTATTTTTTGCATTCAGAACACTGTTGCTTTTTGTGTATCTTTCTTCATTTCATCTGCATTACTTTTTCATGAAACTTTCGCAAGACATGGTTTTCTTTTCAGAAATTATTTATCAAACCATAGTCAAGCTAGGAAAACTAAATTTGTTGACAGATACAGGTTTAGGCAGTGGTACGGGAGCCTATTTTGAAAGGGTTTTTTTTCAGGCTGTTGTACTGAAATCACACTTGAATAAGCTACTGAAGAGTAGATTCCTAATTGGAGTGTGTAAAACCATTATACCAGTGGCATATAGATGACGATAGATAGAGTAGGCATTAAACTGCCGACACAGAAGTGATACAATGAACCGGGGCACAAAGTCCATTGTGACATTGTGATGGTTGGTACTGTATTACTAATGTCATCAACTGTTAATGAGATACAAAAGTGTCTCTAGGGATCATTTTACTCCTAGTCTCTCAAATATCAGCTCCCTTTTTCCTACTTTGGGAAAGGGTAGGGGAAACAGTCTGTATTATAGTCAGTAAAAATGAGCAAAACAAATCACTTGTCATGGATGATAATACTTTGAACATTGTACACATGCTTTTTAATTATATAATCTAATTGGGAAAATGAAGACTGAAATTTGGAAAATACATGGACATTTTTCAATTGGGAATGGCCCCCGGGTCCCTATAAACACCTTGTAAAAAACCCTTGATAAATCCAACAACAACCCTAAAAGCTTTGTGCCTGATAGTTGCATATTGAAGAGGGTACTGTTACTACCAGTATATGATCTAGTGGAATGTTTTGCTTCCAAACTACATAATTTATAGAAAAGATAGATATATTCATGGTGGCAAATTTGTAAACTTTTTTTACAGCTGTTGAAAATGATGCATCTTAAACACAGTCCATTAACTTCAAGTTGGTTGATTTTGAACTGACCTCACTGGAATGAACCAGGATCAGAAATCACAGCTTAATATTTATGGCAGCTGATTACACACCACCAATCTCTATGGACTGTAACATCCTTGTTCCTATACATCTGTCTTACTTATAGACCAGGAACTATAGATGAGATCCTTAAAGCAGTTAAAAGCACTGGGTCATTAAGACTATATAATAGATTGAAGACTGTCTTAAATCCTGAAAGCCAACCCCACACCCCATATCAAAAAAAGAAGAAAATCCAGTTTAAAAAGAATATGAAATGGAACTCTGTCATCAAAGAAGGCCTAATAGAAACAGGATCACTTATAAGAATTACGCTTACTCTAGGGGAAGTCAGTAGAGAATTTGACATATGCCTTATGACATGATATTAGTCACAACTAAGGAAGGAACACCAAGGCAAATTAAGCCCGACATGATACAGATCGGAAGGTACAGACTGGGAGTGTGTACCAGTTACACCAGTTGACGCGTCAATAGTAGTCGTAGACTAAAGGTATGACGTCGACAATGGTGAGTAAACAATTGTATTCACTCATGCAATACCAGGAACACACAAGAAATACTGCTGGCCAAAAAAACTCAAATACACTCAATATATTCTTACTGTTCCCAAATAATGTTTATTCTATATATCTGCATGTTGGGTTATCTCATCCATTACAGATTTAGGGAAATGAAAGAGCCATGATATATTTAAATGAGGTACAATTTTGTACAAAAAAATCTTGATTTTGAAATCTTGTAACTTTTTGTATAATTCAATCATATATATATAAATACACAAAAAAAATTCAATTAACAATCAATATATCACTGGCTTTGTTCTTGATTGACAACAGTGTGTAGTCTTAGGAAGCATCCAGTGCATATATGACAGGTGAACATGAATTTATTAATGTTCTATATTTATAGATACCTCACACAACACTACAGTAGCTGCGATAACGTAGCTTTCTGACGACGAGAGATTTTTGTTTATAAATATATATTGTGTCGTCATGCAGAGCTACGAAGATCATACAACCCTATTTATGGATGCGGACCCATTTGCAGTCAATTAGTTCTAAAATTGCCCCGGTGTGATTCACACTGGGCTTGCTCAGTACTTGCAATTTGGCATTTGATGTTGAAAGTTTCAAAGAACTTTGTGGGTTCATTCCACTTTATTCCCAACTTCAGTAATAAAATCGTTACTCAAAACGGTAAATGTTACCCAACTGTAGGATCATTACCCATAACACCCGATTATACACGTGCAGTACAGTAGTGATGTAACGTTACTAAAATTGAACGTCAACGTTATTACCGTTATACATGCTTTCCAATTCCTTTAACTTACCACTGCTTCGTATTTTGGAATCTGTGGGAACATGAAATTATCCATGGAGTAATACTTTCTGTCACATCAAACGTTATTGTAACGTGGCTTCATGCCGTTTAGTCGGTTATGCCAGACTGAAAATAACTTACTTTCGCTACTTTCGTTTACTCGTATTGTGTGTTCTACGTCACCATTTCAGGGGGAAACTGACGGTGGTAGGTAATTTTTGTACCCGGTTCCCGGACCCGGACTGAAACCCCGTACTAGGAATATAAAGAAATTTTAATATCTCATTAACGCAATCGTTAATATTTTTTATAGAAATATAGAATAATTTCAAACATTATTTTCTAAATGGGACAATTACAAAAATGTTTATTTTTAATCTAATAATTTAGAAATCGGCGATAATGTGTATTTCAAGGGGTAAACTTGTACGCCGCAGTCAACCGTGAAAATCACGGTTTTTCACATATAATTAGAAATTTAGGGAAAATTAACATGTAGTTTTCAGATATATAGAAGAAAATACCTTACTGTTTATAATTATGTAAGTTTCGTTGAAATAAACAACATATTTCACATGAAATTCTGACTTTTACCTACCACCGAAACTGACTAAAACTCTAAACCGGCGTATTTATTTTCATTATGCGGAAATAATTATCGGTAAAACCCATGTGCAGAAAACGAAAAATAATGAAATCAGAAAAAAATAATATGTCAATTCTCGTGGCAATCATATTCAATCAATACACATAATAAACTTCCACTGCACCAAAATATCCGGACTAAATATGCGATTTTTGTCCGAGTTTTACGTGTCCTTACCCAGTTTCCGGGCAGCGGAATTTTACATAACAACTTTTAAAAACAAGGAACGTCCAATAGATTACAGAAGAACTCTATTTTCGGTGTGTTGTCGTATATTTACGAATTCTTGACTTAGTGAATGTATTTCTTTTCATAAACTTTGTCATAGATTGTGGCATTAGTAATAAGTTAACAAACAACACTAAACAGTGATTCCTAGTACTGACCCCTACGGCCGAAACATGTCTCTGGCTACTCCAACAATGTTAGAGGTTTTACACGGCGAAAAACTTTTGACAGGCGCCTCGTAACCATATCCGATAGAAAAAGGCCGACCATCGGCCTGTTATATTATAGGAGTAGTCTCTGGCCGAAACAGCCTTTCATACCTATCAGCAAAACTTTGGCGAGATCTACCTGAAAATGTAAAAAAAAATAGTGGATTTCGTCAGTTTCAAAAAGTGTATGGAAGGCTGGAACGGCCTAACTTGTAGATGTCCATCTTGCAAATTTACCAACAAAACATAGTCTTGTTTATGTGTGTTGTGTACTTTTTCGGATTTTTTTATTAGTCTAGTGCTAAATATATATGTCCAGTACACTCTGCCGATTGAGCTATATATATAGCTGTAAAGACCTATAATACCGCGGACTTGGATAACAATCTAATCTAATTCCGTGATAATACTAATAGCTCTATATAGTATTGACCTATAATAATAGGTCTTTTGAGCTATTTTCAAGTGATTTTCTTTTTTAAGGAAAACGAAACAAAGTCGCTTTTAAAAGAAGATTGTATCATTAGGTTGATAACAAAAAACATTAAATATAAGTATACTTTTTAAAAATAATGATGTAAAAAAATCGTAAATTTTACATTTATGAAAAATGAAAATAAACATCTAACCGCATGCTTTTTGCAGTCAACATTACCATAAACCTTATTGTTTAATGCGACTTTGCTTTAATTTAATGAAAATTGAAATCTGAGAAAATATAGCTCAATACGGCTATAATGTATAGGTGAATATAGCTATATAGGTCTTTATAGCTATATACTGTAGTTCAATCGCCAGAGTGTACTGGACCTGATGAATGCATGTGTTCTAGCAAATAAGTGCATGGTAGATATATAGTGCTATATATGTGCAATGTGTTTATCAAAGTAGGAGGGCTTGCTGGTAGGAACTTACCCATCCGCGCACAATCCCTGCTATGTATGTGCTTTTATTTTTAGCTCACCTGCTCGAAGGGCAAGCTTAAGTAAGCTTATGCCATGGTGCAGTGTCTGTCGTTCGTCTGTCAACTTTTCTTTTAAAACGCTTCCAGTCCTGAACGGCTTAGTGGATTTTAACTAAATTTGGTCTGGAGCATCCTTTGGCCATGGGGACTCAATTTTGTAGAAACAGTGGGTGTGGCCCCCTTGGGGGGAGAGGGGTCAGGCCGAAAAGGGGAAATAGAGGTAAACATGTAAAATCCTTCCTCTATTATAGGAATTAAGGGATTTTATCCTTATTAAGTCCGGAGCATCCTGGGCAAAGGCGACTCATTTTGTATAAATGGTAGGTGTGGCCCTCCTGGGGGCAGAGGGTCGGGGCCCAATAGGGGAAATAGAGGATTTTTTTTCTCCTACTCTAAAAGTGAAGGGATTTAAACCATATGCAGTCTGAAGCATGCTTAGGGACAAACGAATCAGTTTTGTATAAACTGAGGTGTGTGGGCCCCTCCTTGGGGTAGATAGGTGGTGGGCCCATTAGGGGAGATAGAGGAAAATATTAAAGATCCTTCTCCTTTTGTACTAATGAAGGGATTTTAACCAAACTTGTTCAAGGCCCAGGATGTTGATATCTGGCCAGTAGTGTGCTAGGATGAATGGCTCCCAAGTTTGTACAAATTAATGACTTTGAATTATTTTCAAGGTCACAGGGGTCAAATATGTTTTAAAGTCTTAAAATGACTTCTTCTGAATAACCATGAGGCACAGAATGTTGATATTTGGCCAGTATAGCATAATCAGGATGAAGGGCTACCAAGTTTGTTCAAATGAATCAATGATCAAGGAATTTTAAAATCTACAGCAAATTGATTCTTTCAATGTATAAGCTTATTTTTCATGTGAACTTCACCCTATAAGCTAGCTGCTTTGATTCTGAATCAGTGAGTCCACATGAACTGTAATTGTTCATCTCTTAACAATATTAATACACTGTATGTGCCAATTCTATTTTAGGGTTAGGGTTAGGGGATCCCCGAAGTCGCCGTACGCATGGAATATTCAGAGAAAGTATTTTTCTCCTGCCCACACAACTCCAACAACCCAGGTGGAGTATAAAATGGTCTGGGGTGGGTGTTGCGGTATCTGTGCTGTAGCATGCAAGTGTGGTGGCACTATAAACGATACCATTGGAAGCATGGTCCCACTACAAACAGAACACAATACATCTCCAGCACACACACAGGCATACACACAAAGGGAGATATTAGCCATGTGGCATAGGACTAGTAGTTAGCGCCTGATAAGGCAGCTCCTGCTAATTCCTCAATATTGACTGTATAAAATTGCATATCTACCTATGTACTGTAAAGCGCTTTTGGGTTGCTTATGTTAGCTAGATAGTGCGCTATATCAAATGTTGTATATATATTTATTTATTTATTTTATAGTGTGTATGTGCCTTGTCAGGTAATCAATGATATAATATGTATGCTTCCAGCTTCTGACCATCATGATAAGAGTACAATTAGTTTTTTCATGTTTAATATTAGCAAGATTGTCCCCTTTGATGTTGTTTAAAACAATTTGGCTGTATTTATGTTCAATTTTTTTCATCCTTTTCCTCTCTAGACTGCTGCAAGAGCTGGACGACGAAATTGCCACAATGACAATAATATGAAAATTTGAAATGCACAAGGTCAATCAGAAAAGCCTGAAGATGTTTCGTCCTTTGAAATTGAGGTATACATTTTGTGAATTAGAAAGGAGCTTGTGTTTGATTCCTAAAAGTAGAATATTCATTTCTAACTTGCCTAAGAATATGTTATGTACTAACGCAGCACAGGTTTAATATATATAATCAGAACAACAACAAAAATAGGAAGAGAAGAAACTATACGTCCTTATGAATGAATTGTTATATATTCAGTTAGAAAACCAGTATAATTTTTTACCATTTTGTAAATAAGTATTTGACTTATACTTTAATTTAAAACAAATCCTTTTTCAAACAATACATTGATGATTCTTTCCATGTTAATCTCATGCCACTGTGGAAATGTTTCTGGTCGTGTATGGCACATGTGTAACGGGATCGGAAAAATGCTTGGCCAGGCTAGGGTTCAAACCCATAGCCCTCCAAACTCTAGATTTATGCGCTACCATTTGAGCGATCTGGTCGCTGAAGATTGACCCAGTCCAGTTCTGCTACACATGTAGTACACATGTACTAAATGACTGATCATGACTATTATGAGCTACAGTATATAAACTCATTTGACAAACATGGTTGTCAACTGACTGGATATGAAACCACACAGAGATTAAATCCATGTGGCAAAATAGTAAAGAGTACTCGCAACATTTTCTCTTAACAAAATAACAATGTGATATACCATGGTTTAAGCTGTGAAGGATGCTGATTTCAAAAGCAAAACATAGGAAGACAATACATTAGTCTACATCAGTGGTTGTCTTAACACAGGTTTTGTATCGAAATATGCCCCCACACCCCAAAACAAATAAAATATGCAAGGACCCCAAGCTATCCTTATGTGTTAACAAATTCATCATTTAAATAACTTAGGACCACACATTTAGATTTATCATTGTTATGGTAAACATAACATGTTGAATGATACATCATACACATATAATAAAAGTAACAAATGTATATGACAGAAATGTTCAGGTGTACAATTCCACAAGCCCAACACAGGCGGCTAGTCGATTTTTTATCAGGGCATGTGAAACTTTTCAGTACTAACTTTCCTGGACCAATCGGACCAATTGTTAGATGTCGAAACGTAATGTCGTAAGTTGATCGGCGATTCTCTGGCATAGGAATTTGGCTAAACTTTTTTTGTTAACGGTTACCTATTTATTAATACTTTTCACATAAACTCACAAAACAACAAATTATGTATCTTTTATTAATGTTTGACATAAATAAATTTGTTGATCGTCATTTGTCTTAGCGTTCCGTGTACCAAGGGACATAATCCAAGATGGCGATCTCTCAGAATCGTCAATCTTTTCCTGAAAAAAACTTTAAATTTTCTATACCTGTGTATTTTACGCACCCCCCACTTTGAGTATTAAATTTCTGAAAAAAAAGTGCACAAATTACATGTTTTTTTTTACGGTACCCACAATTGATTGCGCTACACTTACGGACCATGGTTAGCTCAGCCAAAAATCCTTGTGGAAATGAACAATTTATGAGGTTATCTGATTGATTCCGTCACATTTTCTTGTCTGACTTTAAGCCGTTGAGAAGTGAATCACAATGGACCAAGGGTATCTGATGAAGGGACAAACCAATTTTTGCAAAACCTCATTTATGAAATTGTACACCACTGTAAGTTTATCTTTTGTTGTATCCAGTCACTTTTTGACATAATCTAGCACTCATCGGTAAAAGGTTGGTTTGTGTCATTTGCTAATACCTTTCTTGTATATTTTCTGTATTTTATATTTTGAATGTTTCATTACAATATTTTGGTCATTACATGAGCTATCAAACACTTCTCTTTTCACAGGACTTTTTGCTCCCCCAAGATGCAACTTCAGTATGCTTCCTTGTATGAGGTATTGGGGGTGACTGTGAATGCCACTCAAACAGAAATAAAATCAGCATATCTTACAAAATCTAAAAAGGTAATGTAATCAGTATGTGTTGTAAGAGATGGTACTCAGTAACTGCGGCCAGTACCTGGGAACAACCCCAAAGAGGCCTCAAACTCGTGACCTAGAGACATGTGAGAGCTGTCTCATGATTAATCTTTGGGTTTCTCTGTACAATTTTCCCTAAAACTATCTTCTAAGGCTTTTATCAAACAGCTACTATTGGACAGAACTATTCTAAATTTCAGGGCTTTTCTCAAACAGCTGTACCAAGACTGTACCAACATTTGAGGCTTTTAAGTAGGAACTATCCTTGGATGAATTTCATTACTACTCTAAGAACTGCTCTGGAACTTACTGTTAAGACATTAAGAACTGCTCTGGAACTTACTGTTAAGACATAAGACTTAGGACTACGGCTACTGTCACAAGAGCTGTCTAAGAACTAGATCTTAGGTAATCTCTAAATTAGGAATCGCCCCAAGACTTGCTTTGAGGGCTTTATCTGAGAGTTGTCCCATAATTGGTTTTATCAGTCCATCAATACTGCCCCATGGGAAGTTTAACTTGTGTGCTAATTGCATTACTCACTCAATGATATGTACAGATTAAGCAACAAGAATCAATTCTGGGTTTCTGATGATGATATTTAACATCACAATTAACTGTTCTTCACTGAACTGTATGTTGTGAGAGAATTTTGTTTAAGGATGCTGTGTCTTTACAGAAATGATTAATCAATCTGTTCAGCTTCTGTCTGAAACACAATGGATTATGTTTCCCAGGTGATAAAACTGAACTTAATGCTAGTGAATATGTTTATAATGTAATGAATGGATCTTAAAAGTTTATGCATTTTTTGCTTGAAGTTATTGTAATTTTTCTGTTCATGTATAATTTTATTTAATATTTAATATGCTTAAAAAGTTATGATGGAATTTATACTGCATTGGTGAATATGTTTATACTGCATTGGTGAATATGTTTATACTGCATTGGTGAATATGTTTATAATGTGTAAGGATTCTTTCGTTTTCAGTTTCATCCCGATTTCAACATGGAATCTGACACAAACCTAGAATTTTTGAAAGTGCAGAATGCTTATAAAACCTTAAGCAATCCTTTACATAGATGTGCATATGACCGCGCCTTCACCAGTTTAAATGCCAAGTGAGTATAATGACAGGTTTTGATTATATTTGAGTAATTTTTTGGGTCTACCATTTACATAACATGATAATAAAATTCGACATTCCAGAACATTTTGGGCAAGTAGATGTTATGTTGGGCATGTGAAAACTTTCAGTGTTTACTACATGTATTAAAATATAGGTCTGTCCAAAGTCAACCAGCAGGCTAGTACTTTAAATTTGGTAATTGGCCAGACGATTTTGGCTTGGATATGGGTTCTGGCTGTGTATTAACTGAAAGTGTTTTTAGCTCACCTGGTTCTAAGGACCATGGTCAGCTTATGCCATATCACAGCGTCCGGCGTCTGTCCGGCGTCCCTTCGTCAACTTTTCCTTTAAAACGCTACTAGTCCTGAACGACCACACCCACCCTTTATATAAAATTGAGTCCCCTTGGCCCAAGGATGCTCCAGACTAAATTGGAACAAATTCCCTTAATTCGGACGGTAGAAGAAGGATTTTAAAGGTATTGCCTCTATTTCCCCTATTTGGCCCCGCCCGTCTGCCCCAAGGGGGGCCACACCCACCATTTATACAAAATTGAGTCCTCTTGGCCCAAAGATGCTCCAGACAAAATTATGATAAAATCCCTTAATCCCTACGATAGAAGAAGGATTTTAAAGGTTTTACCTTTATTTCCCCTATTGGGCCGGCCCCTCTGCCCCCAGGGGGGCAACACCCACCATGCAATACATTTGCACTTCCAGTGACACCATGCTATTCTAGCTTCAGTTTTTCTAACATTTCCAGGTGAGCGATACAGGCCCTCTGTGCCTCTTGTTTTACATAAAAGGAGGCTCTTTTCTTCTCTACAATTATGTTCATATGCCATGATACTAAATAGGATATAAGCAGAAACTGTCCTGTTACTAGCATTTCCAGGAAAAGAAAACCTTTGAATGTCGGAGTTTACAGGACATGTCCTCACTAAATTCAATATACACTGAGTGAAGATGTAATTAGAAAATCACATTTAAAAAATAAATATAGTAGAACATTCAGACATAGTCTTTCACTCAAATATTGCAGCCTCCTTCCTAAGTTCGTTTGTAAGCATAGCACTGATGCATGCTTGGATGGTGTGTATTCTGGCATTGGTATTGTTTTAATGAAACAGCAGATTTACAGGCAGATGTGACTACATTTGGACAAGTTCCTATTACAATTCTATTGAAAAACAGTCATTAGAGAAATGATATAATCTGATGTCTTATCTTTCTTAATGACCATTTAGGCTTCAGGTGATAGTAGAACAGATGAAATGGATTTTATTTTCACACCTGACAAAATGAATGTAGTTTTAAAAAGCACAGTAGATTTAATCCAAAGATAATAATCCTGAAAGATGAGTATTTTGTACTTTAATTATTTTTCAGGGAGATGTTCCACAGCATATTTCATACCAAAGCACAGACACCTAATGTATGGGATTACTGTCATCACTTCCACCACTCGGCCGAGCTCAGCTGTTCAGATCCTCCGCCTACCAAAAAGCAAGAATTAACCAAAGTTCAACAGTTTTACTCAAAAAACCTTGTCTCATGTTTTTGGCTGATAATATTTTTGGGAACGACAGCTTTGTTGTAAGTGTGAGATGACCCCAGGTACACATGGTCTGTTTTAAGCCAACCTTACAGTTGAATCTTTTGTATAACTTACATTTATGACACCTAATGTAAAGATGGTTTGTAGCATAAACTTTTTCAGAGGAAAATAATTATCAATGTAAAAATTGACTTAAACATTTCAAAACTTAAAAATTTATGGTCAAAACTTATATTAATCAATTAATTTACATGAAAATTACTTCAATTGCTTCTCCTAGAAAAACTATGAGGTTTAAAGAAATTATGTTTGACCTGTAGCTTGCTAATACATATGTATAAAGGACTTTCAATTTTTTCCAAATAAATGACCTTGACCTCCAGTCAGGTTACAGTGGTCAATTACAAAAAACAAATCCTCCAAAAGTTTCATTAAAATTTATCGAAAATGGGAGATATAACAACACCTCAGTGGAAGGAAAGGAGGTTCAAGATGGAGAAATTTTACTAAATCAGTATGAGAGAATAATACAGCCAAATCTCTTTATGTTTTTAACAAAATTTGTGGTCATTCTGGTCAGAGCCCTTATTTGTGTTAAATAGTACTTATTTTAGGTGACAAATAAGGTAATAAAGAGCATAGTTTTAATTGAAAGTGATTCTGTTAGGGAACGATCATCCAAGGGAGATAATCTCCGGCCCCCCTTTATATAGTGTGATCTTAGAGCATGGAAAATACTTGCATTTCTGACATTTTTTTTTTTGTCAGCTAAAATTTAATTCTGTAAAGCATCAATACTGTCTCGGATTACAGGTTTGGGACCGGGTATGCTATAGAAAATAAGGATAAAAAATTACCAGAAACCCCCCGAAAGCCTTCTCACAAAGTTCAGGTAAGTCGGATATGGTTGATGGAATGTATTTGTAAGCCTGTATCACCAGTGATTGTAACTGATATATGTGACAATTTGAGGAGGGGCTAACATCATCATAGTATGATATTAATTCATTAATTTTTTCTTACAATTTCAGAAAAGTGTTACAGACACAAATATCTCTCCCCTACGTGCTCGACAGCACTCAAGGCCAACAGACCTAACTAAGTACAAAGAGTTAGACATTCCTAAAAGGGAGGAGGAATAGGAAGTTGCATTAATTCCTTCCTCTGTCTACCATATTTGTGAGATTCTGTGATAATTATGAATACATTTTATCCAGCAATGGTTAAAGATACTGTAAAAGCATAATATTTCGTTTTGGGATTAAATTTCGTTTATTTTGTGGTTTTATAAAAACCGTGAAATATAAACCCATCGACATCTTAAACACACAAAATATAAACTATTAAAATATCATATAAACTATCAATTTTATTATTAACATTTATACACAAGTCATGATTAACAATGTAATTATCATCACAGGCACAGTCAGAAGAGACATGTTTCTCTTCCGCTATCGTAAGAACTACTGACAAGGTACATGTACGTCTACGTGAGTCTACAAAGTATACATCATGTGTATATCGCTCTTTGTATATATTATAAGCTATAGAGCGTGACGTATTTGACCGGTACCAATGGAGTAAGTAAATCTCGCCCGATCTTAAATGTCTTCATGCCTGTCAGTTTAAACTTACTTTCCAGAAAAAATGCAGGGTTTTAAATGATTGATTCCACAAAATGTAATCCCAACGAATTTGTCCGAATACAGAAAAAATAAACCCCAATGAAAATATATGCTTTTGCAGTATTTATCTTTAATTTTGTCTGTATTGGTTGAAAATTGTGTATGAAAAATCAATTTGATTAATGTCAACGGCATAACCTTTTTAAGAAAAGGATTTTGAATTTTTCAAAAATGAAAATGCAACTTTTTTAGATAATCATGCTTCAATATAAGAACATGTATGAATTAGATGTAGACATTTTTTTAACAAATAAAACTGCGTGAAATAGAAGCTGTATATATAGTATGTTTTCATTTCTGTCATAAAATACAGTTGATGCTTTGAGATGTGTCTTTAGATGTTCTAACAAAGTAAAACAAGTTTACTCTCTCAGCAATATATGTGGTATATGTTTTGTTTATCAGTGGTGTATGTTTAGTTTATCAGTGCACAGTATGTTTAGTTTATCAGTGCAGTGTATGTTTAGTTTATCAGTGATGTATGTTTAGTTTATCAGTGCAGTGTATGTTTAGTTTATCAATGATGGATGTTTAGTTTATCAGTGATGGATGTTTAGTTTATCAGGGATGGATGTTTAGTTTATCAGTGATGTATGCTTAGTTTATTAGTGATGGATGTTTAGTTTATCAGTGATGTATGTTTAGTTTATCAGTGATGTATGTTTAGTTTATCAGTGATGTATGTTGAGTTTATCAGTGATGGATGTTTAGTTTATCAGTGATGGATGTTTAGTTTATCAGTGATGTATGTTTAGTTTATCAGTGGTGTATGTTTAGTATATCGGTGATGTATGTTTAGTTTATCGGTGATGGATGTTTAGTTTATCAGTGATGTATGTTTGGTTTATCAGTGATGGATGTTTAGTTTATCAGTGATGTATGTTTAGTTGATCAGTGCAGTGTATGTTTAGTTTATCAGTGATGGATGGTTTGTTTATCAGTGATGGATGTTTAGTTTATCAGTGCAGTGTATGTTTAGTTTATCAGTGATGTATGTTAAGTTTATCAGTGCAGTGTATGTTTAGTTTATCAGTGGTGTATGTTTAGTTTATCAGTGATGTATGTTTAGTTTATCAGTGATGGATGTTTAGTTTATCAGTGTGGTGTACGATGTATATTTAGTTAACTTGACTGTGTGTAATGTGTATTTAAGACTTTAACTCAGATATTGTAATTATACCCTGTCTTCAGTATTCAAATTGTTACAGGATAAAAATGTATGTACAACAGCATTCTTGTGCCAAAATGCCCTAAATTAATATTCGTAATTATATTGATTTAAGGTGGTAGCCATTCCTGTGTATCATATATTTGAAGTGGCAACAATAAACATATCAACAGTCACAGCAACCAAGTAACCATATAAACAGCCACAGCAACCATGTTTACAGCCATAGTAACTATATAAACAGTCACAGCAACCATGTTTACAGCCATAGTAACCATATGAACAGCCACAGCAACCATGTTTACAGCCATAGTAACCATACAAACAGCCACAGCAACCATGTTTACAGCCATAGTAACCATACAAACAGCCACAGCAACCATGTTTACAGCCATAGTAACCATATGAACAGCCACAGCAACCATGTTTACAGCCATAGTAACCATACAAACAGCCACAGTAATCATGGTTACAGCAGCAGTATCTATGGTTACACTATATATTGTCATTAGCTCACCTTACAGTACCAGGGTGAGCTTGTGTAGTGGTGCCTGGGCTCTCTTCACAAACTATAGGGTACCTCATTACCAAAATGAGGAAATGAACGCTTCGAAGCTGTTGGACTTTTTGCATGCCTTTCTTTCGTTAACAACCACTAGATGCTGTCCTCAGGTTGGTTGTAAAGTATTTGGAGATTTGGGGTTTGTACTGCATCGTAACTGATTTTTCGGTATTTATAGTGTGATTGTTGGTCATTTTATGATATTGTTTGATGTGGATTTTAACATAATAAATGTTTATTTTTTTATTTTCAAGAGACAATTTTATGTAAACAGATATGTTTAGCTCAACTGGCCCGAAGGCTTATGCTTATGCCATGGTGCGGCATCCGTCTGTCAGCCGGCCTTCCCGTCTGTCAGCCGGCCTTCATCCGTCATCTGGCGTAAATATTTTACTTTAAACAGCTTCTTCTCAATTACCAAAAGGCCTAGGATGATGATATTTGGCCAGAAGTAAACTGGGATGAAGGGCTACCAAGCTTGTTCAAATAAATGACCTTCATCTATTTTCAAGGTCACATGGGTCAAATATGTTAAAAACTTTAAACAGCTTCTTCTGAATAACAAAAATGCCCAGGGTGATGATATTTGGCCAGTAGCATGCTGGGATAAAGGGCTACCAAGTTTGTTCAAATGAATGACCTTCATCCATTTTCAAGGTCACTGGGGTCAATTGTCTTACACAAATCTTGAAACAACTTCTCCTGAATAACGAAGAGACCTAGGATAATGATATTTGGCCAGTAACATGCTAGGATAAAGGGCTACCAAGTTTGTCCAAATGAATGACCTTTTTTATATTCAAGGTCACAGGGGTCAAATATGGTAAAAACCTTTAAACAACTTCTTCTCAATAACCGTAAACCCTAGGATGATGCTATTTTGCCAGAAGCATGCTGTGATGAAGGGCTATAAAGTTTGTTCAAATGAATGACCTTCACCCATATTCAAGGTCACAGGGGTCAAATATGTTAAAAACTTTAAACAACTTCTCCTGAATGACCAAAATGTTCAGGGTGATGATATTTAGTCAGTAGCATAAGAGGATCAAGGGCTACCAAGTTTGTTTAAATGTATGACCTTAAATCATATTCAAGGTCACAAGGAGCAAATATGTTCAAAATATTTCAACAACTTGTTTTGAATAACCAAAAGGCTCAGGATGTTGATATTTAGTCAGTAGCATATGCTGGGATAAAGGACTACTATGTTTGTTAAAGTGAATGACTTTGACTTATATTCAAGGTCACAGGGGTCAAATTTGTTTAAAATCTTTAAACAACCTCTTCTGAATAACCATGGGTCCCAGGATGTTTATACTTTGCAAGTTGCATCATGAGATGAAAGGCTATACAATGTGTTCAACATAATGACTTTGTTCGACTTTCAATCACAGGGGTGAAATGTTTTAAAAAAAATTAACAGGGTCTTTTGAATGAATTTTAATCATAAATACTGATATTTTGCCTGTAGCTCTATTTTAGATCACTTTTAAGGTTACAAGTGTGAGTTTTATACCAGGTGAGCGATGCATCCCCCCCCCCCCATTGGGCCTCTTGTATTCAAGGTCACAGGGGTAAAATTTGTTTAAAATCTTGAAATGACTTCTTCTGAATAACCATGAGGCCCAGAATGTTGATATTTAGCCAGTAGCATGCTACGATAAAGGGCTATCAAGCTTTTTCATTTGAATGACCTTGACCCACTTTCGAGTTCACATTTACTCAAATATGTTGAACATTTAAATGACCTAATTTCAATAAACAAAAGGATATGTAGGTAATGTTTTGCAAGTTGCATCTTGAGATAAAGGGCTATAAGATTTGTTCAACATAATGACCTTGTTCAACTTTCAAGGTCACAGGGGTGAAATGTTTTTAAATCTTTCAACAGGTTCTTTTAAATTTATTTTAATCATAAATACTTATATTTTGCCTTTAGCTTTATTTAAGATAACTTTTAAGGTTACGAATGTGAGATGTATACCATGTGAGCGATGCCGGCCCATTGGGCCTCTTGTTAAATATATAAATGAAGCTAGTTTTATTGGATTGAAATGCTAAGAAAAAAGTAAACTTTAACATAATTTTGAGTTCAAGTTGAATGTGAAGATATATTTTCTAAAGCTTGTTTTTAAGGTTAACAAACATGTTGTAATATGTAATTATAAATGATTGTTTTTGTGAGTAGATCTCATGGTTTATACAACAATATTTGATATGTTCAAGTATAGATATATGTGGGACAAGTATTTATTGAACATTGCATTTTAAATCTGAATTGTTTATTATCAAATGGATACTCTTGCAATTAAAGAGTACAGTAATGGCTATCACGTTTACTGGCTGCCTGATATATGCAGTAGTGACTAATAGTGACTTGTCCAGGCCAGAAGTTTTAAACTGCTGAAGATTAATAGAATCTCTCCCTACCTGGAGGGTGTGACAGAGAAATCTCCATCCCAAGGGATGATATTCTTGATTGTCTTAAGGGAGGGTAAGACATACGAGAACATCATCTCGAGGGTTGAAGATTTCTCTGTAACACGTACCTTCAAGGTAGGGGCTGATTATTTTTCTCCCATCCTGTTTCACTCACAAATCAACTGATAAGTAGTGATTGCTTGAAATATAAGCATTGATTGCATGTTTTTCCAGCAAATGCAGAGTTGTCTTCCATGGTCTACTACTTTTGACGTGATGTCAATGCATTGATGACATGATGTCATACTATTGTTATGATTTAGATCGCGCCATTCTGCATGAGGCTATCTCCCTCTATGGTTGACAAGTTGATATTTTCCGGCTTAAAAGGGAGACACACTTGTGAAGGGTGGGAGAAATATTGATGAAATTGGATGTATACCTGTATCAACCTTAGAGGGTGTGCAGTGTGCAATGCAGTGACCTGCATGTCAGATCAAAGGTCAAATAAGTGCAAGAAATCCCCAGATTTTAAGGAAATTCATTTCTGGACTAAATTTTAACTGTCCAAGATGTCTTGATAAAGGTGCGTAGTGTATAGTAATTAGGTCATGGTAACCTTCACCTCAAGGTCAAATAAATGTTGGGCTTTTTTTAGGTCACCTGAGCTTTGCTCAAGTGACCTATTCCAATCACTTTCCGTCCGTCGTCGTCCGACATGCGTCGTCGTCCGACATGCGTCGTGCGTAAACTTTATACATTATCAACTTCTTCTCAAGAACCAGTGGATGGAATTTTTTCAAACTTGGTCAGAATCATCCTTGGTAGATGAGGCTACCAAATTGTAAAATTGGGATTCCTACCCCAACCCTAGGGGCCAGGGCGGGGCCCAAAAGGGAAAATTAACCAATATTTCAAAAATCTTCTTCTCCAGACTCAGAGGTATTACAGTCATTTTCTCTGCATGGATGGAAAGATCATCAGGGGCTTTATTTAAATTGTAAATTTCAGGACCCCCGAGCTATCCGTTCTCCCTTGGGGAGGGGGTAAAGTTTACTATAGTTTATATAGGGAAACAACACTTTTGGGTATATTTTGACAATTTTCTGTTGGAAATTATTTTTACTTGGTCAGAATCATCCTTGGAGGAGGAAGATGGTTTTAAATTGTAAAATTGGGATTCCTACCCCAA